TCCTTGCTCCAGTCAGCTTATTCCGCAGAGGCTCCACGGTCCCCAAGAAGTGTTTAGGTCGCCTGCTGAGGCAGCAGGTCTCTTCTGCAGACAAACCTAATTGCTCCACATCTGAAACTCTTCGTTAGCTTGTGCTCTATGGCTTTCTCCCAGCTGACTTGGCTTTGGTGTAATGAAATTCAAGAGGCCTTTCCAATCTGTTGGCAGACCCATTGCATGAACAAGATGACTACCTACAACTGAAAATCCAGAGTTTTCTGCAGTGAGGAAGTAGTGGTCAGCGCAAAAACCACATGCTCCTTCCCCTTAGTCTGTCCCTTCTTCCAGGAAATGGTGCAGAGCAAACTGCCCTGCAGCCTAGAACCGTAAGTCTGGTCTTATTGCTGTGTTGTTCCATCAAGAGATGAGTTGGGGGTGGAAGAGGGATCTTCCCTTCCAATTGATGCCTTCTGCATCCTGATTCCCCTTCTGAGATTATAAAGCAGGAATGACAAACCTCCATATTAAGATGAAAGGGCTTGAAATCAGGATCTTGGTTCAAATCCTGACCTTTATTAGCATGATCTTAGACAAAGCTAATTAATTCTCTGTCAGTTTGGAGATGTGTAAAATACGATCAAGAAGATATTTGTAATATAATTGTGAAGAGTAAGGCAAATTAGAGCACAAGGTAATTGAAAAACTTATTAACACATTAGTAGTTAATACTGAGGACTTAAAGCTGGGAATTGTGCTGCTTCCTGTCCAGACAACTATGCCCTCAGCCATGGGAATTAGAGCAGATCCTGCCCTGGGCAGCATCTGCCTGGTGAAGCCAGTGGCTTTCCATGCAAAGGGAGGCTGGCTGCAGCCATGGCAGTGGGCCTCGTGCCTGCCTGGCACTGGAGGCAGGTTGCCAAACTCAATAGGAACCTCAGGCATGAAGAAGCGATTGCCACACAAAACATCCTAGATGCCAAAATGCAAGAGGTGTGAATTTGGAACATAGGTGTGACCTCTAGAGAGAGGTCAGTTTCCCTTTCTTTCACTTTCCAATTGCTACATTTTTTTTTTTTAATGTGTTACGAGCTCTGACCGGGCTCTGTGGCTCAGCCTGTAATCCCAGCACTTTGGGAGGCCGGGGCAAGTGGATTGCCTGAGCCCGCGGGTTCAAGACCAGCCCGGACAACTTGGTGAGACCTCATTTCTACAGTAAATTTTTGTTTTGTTTTGTTTTTTTGAGTTGGAGTCTCACTCTGTCACTCAAACTGGAGTGCAGTGGCTGCTCCCGGCCACCGCAGCCTCGACCTGCTGGGCTCCGGCGATCCTTCCGCCTCAGCCTTCCGAGTAGCTGGAATTACAGGCAGGCAGGTCTCGAACCCGCGGGCTCAGGCAATTCACTCACCTCAGCCTCCCAACGGCGTGGGATTACAGGCTGAGCCACCGAGCCTGGCTAATAAATTTTTAAAAATTAGCTGGGCATGGTAGCACGTGCCTATAGTTCTGGCTACTTGGAAGGCTGAGGTCGAAAGATCGCTGGAGCCTACCAAATCAACGCTGGGGTAGCCGTGAGCATGCCACTGCACTCCAGCCTGGGCAATGGTGTGAGACTCCAACTCAAAAAACAGACAAGAGTCACGAGCTCACTTTTCCCAGGCTGGAGTGCAGTGAGGTGCGCATACCTTGAACTCCTGGGCTCAAGCAGTCTTCTCACCTTAGCTTCCAGAGTAGCTGGAATTACAGGCACAAGCTACTGGACCCAGCTCCCTATTCCTACATCTTATATCTCTTCTTTAACCTACCCCAGTCCTATGCCCAGAAAAAAACTACATTTGACACTATGGTTATCAAGCACTTTCACAATGAGAGATTCAGGTTATTGACTCTTCCAAGGTCACACAGATCTGGTACCGAATCCTGCTCTTTCCAACACACACCACTGCCTGGATGAGTTTTTCCCATTCAGTTTGGAGGTGTCTCCCAACCAAGTGTGCTATGCTCAGTTCTAAAACTGCTGGTGAGATCTGCGAGGGAGGATCAGAATGAAACTGAATGGCAACAGACGACTTAAAATCCCAAATTGAAGGAAGTGTCTGTAGCAGAATTTGTCTCGAGGGAAGGGAGGAAGCCGGTATTTTTAAAAGTCAACAAAATGTATTAAAAATGAGAAACACTAACTGAGGTATGTAGAGTTTTAACAGGGTGGGGAAACATCCTTCACCAAACCTCTCATGAAAAATGTGAGTGACTGTCATGCCCCTGACATCAAGGGGCCCATCTGTGAGGTCTAAGGCCTTCTTCCCACAGACTGGCCTCGGGAAGGGCAGAAGGAGGTAAGCACATCTACCAACATCCACTCTGACAGCCACAACCCAAGAGGTAAGGAGACAGAAGAAAGGAAAATAAAGACTACACCCAGTACAAGGTGACACACTGATAAGCATAGACAAGGGAAACAGAAATGGGGCTGGAGGCAATTAAGGGTGTGTTGGTGCCTCTGTGGCCAACAGGTGAGTGCAAAGCCCTCCCTGGCCCCTTGCCTAGAGAAGGTTATTTCAAATGTATTTTGTCCTTGGAAGCAGCATGAAGCCACGGAGGAAAGCCTTAGGAAGTCAGCCCTTCTTGCAGGGAGCTCCAGACCCATGGTTCTAGGGTGGGTGTGGGGGGTTGCCATTTGTTCATTTATGCCTTCTACGGGCCTTATGAGGAACCTCCCTCTGTGCCCAGCCCTGTGCTCTCAAGTGCCTTGCAGTCCAGTGGGGAATTACTGCAGACAGAGGATGAGATCAGGGTGTGTAATTATCTTAACTAATGCAGGCTGAGAAGGCTTCACAGAGGGAAAGATGACAGGAATGGAGCTTTTCCGGCATAAGAAGTTTATTAGGCAGACCAGAAGGGGAGGGAACACTAGGCTGGGCAAAAAGGCTGCAACCATAGTTCCTCTGAGAGAAACTGAGGCTTTAAACCAAGGCTACCCCATCTGAATTCACGTATGAGAGAGATCAGGAGATGGGCTATCTTGGTCACCTATTTGATCTCCTAGGACAGAAATTACAGCATCTCTGAAATACCAGAGTTGCCCCTTTCCTTGGGCTGATACCCCGATCATCACTTGGGTCAATAACACATCAAGAGGTAGACGGTCGGTGCTAGGGGATAAACCAGGTGCCTAATCCATGGTTCTGCCTCCCCACCAAGCAGGCCTGGAGGGGAGAGGAATCCAGGGCCACCGTTTGAACGGCGAAAAGCCCGCAGATCCTAATACTTGGCCCAACGTCCTTGTGTGCCTGGGTGAAGACCTGGTCTACCCAGGAACTTGAGTTCTGGTGGCCCAGGACACCTGGGGGACGAGGCATCTCGGGGAGGGAGTAAGGGACCAGGATCAAAGGCCACTCCCCAGTTTGCTCCGAGGGGGCTAGAAGGCAGGCGAGGTAGCTGCTGTTCCAGGAAGGGTCTCACCCCTTGCTCCGGGATACGTTCTGGAGGGCCTGGCTGTTCAAGATCTCGGCTAGCGGCTTTGGCTGCGAACGGATTAGGTGTGATCCGATTAGAGCCTGGGCCGTCGGCTTCGCCCCCTTGCCAGGCTCTGCCAACGCCCGCCCCTTTCTCGTGGGGGCCCGGAGACCTTCCCCAGAACGTTCCCCCACGGGACACCGGGTTGGTGCAAAAATCCGAGCGGCTCGGTGCGCCCCGGGCCTGGCTCATTTCCACAGTGGGGGCTCGGGCTTCCGCCCCCTGCGGCTCTTCCGAGCCCCGCCCCAAGCCT